TAAGCTTAAACATTTGTTGAACTTAGAAAGTACTGATATTGAGTCGATAGTCAATTAGTGGAAGGAGAGGAGAAGATAGAGGAGTTAGAGGAAGATAATACCATCGTTTAGTGCTTTAGAGGGTTGTGTCCTCTAATACTCTTAGGATTAGGGGAAAACTCAAAGTCAAACTGTCATCATCTTAATAGACAATGGTAGTACCCATAGTTTCATAGATTATAAGCTCAGTCAATCCCTAACTTAAGGTAGTAAAAACCTTCCCCCTTAATATCAAGGTAGCTAATGGTCAAACATAGCAAAACAAAGTGTCAAGATTTGGGAGTGGAAATCCAAAATACATATTTTCGGTACAGCCTTAGAGTCCTACAATTGTTGAATACCACATTATCTTAGGTGTAAATTGGTTAAACAGTATTAAGCCCATTCTATTTAATTTTATTTCACCTTCACTCACCCTTCAATTAGATGCTAAACCACTAGTGCTCTATGAGATTGTTGAGTTAGCTTTTTTACACTTTATCTATTGTAAGTCTCTCTAAAGATTCTTTCGAAAGAAATGTCATTCCATTGGTCATATGTTCTCTGTTGAAGTCCAAACAACCATATGTCACCCTTCTACTTCCATAATACGTCCTACCATACACAAAGTACTTAATCAATACCAAGATATCTTTTAAGAATCCCATTTCCTTCCACCCTTTAGAGGTCATGAACATTCAATTCCTCTCATCTTGAATGCAAAACCTATAAATGTTAGGCCTTATATGGTTAATCACGTATAAATGAGATAGAGAAACAAATCAATGAGATGTTACTTGCTTCTAACATCCAATCCATGAACCATAGAAATGACCATAAAAATGATCCCATCCGTGAATCATAAAAATGATTTGAATAATCCAATCTATTATATTTTTAAACTCAGCTAGGCTAGATTGGATTGGATTGCTTGGATTTGAATTGGGTTGGAATAGGTCATGTATGACTTGTATCCTTATAACTTTTGTATGACTATTTACTTATTTGAAATTTTTTTTATAAATTATATTTTTAACTATCACTTGTCTTAAACTTTTCATGTCCTATTTTTTTCAAAAATTATCGAATCATACATTTATATTGTCAAGTATTCTATCTGTATGTGCATGCAACCTAAATTTAGTCATAAACAACAGGGGAAATGGCCAAATACTTAATTTAACTCAAACTTTTATAAAAAAAAATTGCAGCTGCTGAACTTTGAATATAAATTTGTAGTCTCAAACTTTAATTTTTAACCTTGTGCTCTTTAAACTTATTTAGGAGACCACAATTTAAAAAAAAAAATTTCAAGAATTAATTAAAAAGTGAAATTTAGGAGACCACAATTTAAAAAAAAAAATTTCAAGAATTAATTAAAAAGTGAAATTTAGGAGACCACAATTTAAAAAAAAAAATTTCAAGAATTAATTAAAAAGTGAAATTTAGGAGACCACAATTTAAAAAAAAAAAATTTCAAGAATTAAATTATGTACTTGGCAGTAAGAAAATTAAAGCTAGCATCATTATGACATTTGAATATTTAAAGAGAATGAGTAAAATATCTTATCTATTTTACAAAATATCTGACATAGTTATTTTTAAGATTAATTAGATTAAAGTTAATGAATCATAATTAAAAAATAAACAAAATTTCATTATCATAAAAAATTGGATTCTTGATTTCTCCAATTACTTAGAAAAAAAAAAAAAGTAGTTGTTCATAACATTTGTTTAAACTATTCACTTTTAGCTTTTAATTTTAAATATATCCCTTTTAAGTTATTATAAGTCAATTTAAGAATTAGTACGAAGTGGTGTTGTGGCCACAAATTGCAAATAGTAGTACTCATAAGTAACTTAATCTGTCACAATTATCAAAAATGATATATGGATTAATTAACTAAAAGTCTTTTTTTTTTTTTTGTTTTTGAAGATAAGTCTAACTGTTTATTAAAATGAGAAATAGTATTAGTAATTTAAAATGATTAGGACAATATAGTATTTTATTTAGTCAAATAGTAATTTTTAAATAGGTAGAAGTATTTTTCTCTTTTTCTAATCGTAATTTTAATTCGAGCTACTGTTGATATTATATTCTTTCGTTTGCTTCACCTTATATTTTTTCTTTAACTTTTAATATTTTTTTGCTTCACCTTATATTTTTTATTTAACTTTTAATATTTTATGTACTTTAATAAACTCAGAACTGTTGTTTTTATTATTGTTGCTTTGTGAGGGTTTGATACTTTGTAAGGGTTTATCACTAAATAAAAATATGATATTTGATTTTATTTGATTAAAAATTTTAAATCTTAATTTGCAGGTGTAGATCTTTGATCAATGGAACTTGGTGATGCAGTATTTTCTTCTATTAATGCTATTGACAAACAGTAGCGATTTGCAAATTCTTGGGAAAGCAATCTAGATGTAGAAGATCAGTTATTATTTTGTCACCCAAATCAATTAACGGATTAATTGTTACTATCATATCCGAGTAGAAAAATTTAATATTATATTTTTTTTTAATTTTAATTTTATATTCTTTTGATTTGTTAAAAGATCAACAAACTATATTAGCTATTAATAATAAAATTTTATATCTAATCTATGTGAATCATATTTTTTCAAAAAAAAATATTTAAAAGTATATTTAATTTATAAGTTAAACCAAACATTCTCTCAATCTAAGAAAAAGAAACTTTAAAAAAAAAAAAAATCTATTTAGTAAAATTGTTGTGTTGGTAATTATAAATTAATAATGGCAAGTAAAACTTTTAGATTTTGATTACAACAAATAAAACTAGAGTTAGAGTTAATAATCAGTTCTTGAAATTGACAGTCTCGATCCTCTTGAATAAGAAATTGGGATTAATCCTAATTTTGGATCAATCAGAAAAACAAATAATTTTCACGTGGTAGACAAATGAAGAGGAAATTGATCTAGCAAAATAATTTAATAATCAATAATAATTTAATAATTGATGTAAGGTAAGAAATGAATATTTTAGGCAGGAAATATGTAACATCAACCGACTCATAACCTCACTCACCAATTTCAACTACCACTATTATTAAAAAATAATAAATAGAGGCAGCAGAGCATAGACAAAATTTTTGTCCATTAAGGAGTGGAGATAGCAATATCTAATGATAATTGTTTCAGTGTTTGCAAACCTAATGAAATTCTAGTGCTAAAAGCCTTACGTATTGCTTACCTTCAAATAATAATATTTGATTAAGTTTATAACATAGTAATTAACATGCTAATCAGAATATAATGAGATTGACAACTACAAAAATAAAAAGTTTCCAACTTTATCCTTTCTTTCCAAGTGTAGATTTCCGAGTGCAGGGTTAAAAACACCCTTGTTTAGGTGTCATGGATTGTATTTATGTTACCATTTTAGGTCAACTTATACAAACACAACCTTTTAACCCGTTTTGAAACCATAGACGGAATATGAAATTAATGAAATGTAAACTCCAGAGTGTGAAATTCGTGAAATATCACATTCTGTCTTTTGATATTAAAAAAAATATTACGAGTTTAAATATTACTTATAAAATAAAATTAAATAATTTAAATTTCATTTTTAATAAAAGAAATATGGAATTGAGAATTCTCAATCTTATTTCTTCCAAAATTGTGGAACTGGAACTATGATAAAATTTATCAATTCCATGGACAATAATCTATTTTTTTTCAACCAAACAAAAGAATCTGACAAATCCACAAATTATTTAAATTTTATCACTCAAAAAATTCCACGGTTTTTTTGTATTATTATTTGAACTCTGAACCATTGTTGAACAGCAGACTAACACTGAAGAAAACATTAATTAAAGGTCTTTAAACTTAGGTTTAAGTTAAATTAGGGCATCTCCTCCACTTCTATGCTCTTTTCTTTTTCTTTTTTTTTTTTTTTTTTTTTTTTTTTTTTTTTTGTGTGTAGGGCGTTGGCTGAGTCAAACTGCAGAATCCACAGCATAAAGAAAAATGATAAGATGATGCCTTTAGTAAAAAGCAAAGTTGTTGAAAAGTCAGATATGGCATATATATCTCATTGGTGTCCAAAATAGAATTCCTTCTTGATATAAAAATTAGTTAGGAGCCTTAGATGAGCCACACTTCTAAAAGCAGTAAGCACATACCATTTTTTTTCCTAGGCCACTCATTATGCTATTTCTATATATCAAATGCTTAACAAGGGCCAAAAGATATGAAGCAACACAAAAGTATAGCTTTAAGAATAGATCACAACAGTCAGATCTATATGCTCATTGGCCAATTTAGCATTCATACTGAAGTGAACAAGCAAACTCTTGCGACTGTGCGCTGACAATCTGTTGATTTTTTTTTTTTTTTTCAGCATAAGTTTGATGTAAAATTTATTTTTAGATGGAGTCTGCTCTACATTACCATTTTATCCAGGTTTAGGTTGCGACAGTCCATCTTGCTCGTGATGCATATGCATATAAATGTTGTTTCTTGAACCAGTTCATCCAGCTAATGCTTGCGCTACTCAATGCTCACTCCTTAGCCCGAACTTTGACAATTCTTTGCACCAACTTCAGGCATGCTTGCATGAAGTTAAAATTTTGAGCGATATGATCCTTCTTTGCAGCATCTTTAAATTCCCAATTCCAGCTTAATCATCCCATACTAGCAGATTTTTTTTTTTTTTTTTTTTTTTTTTTTTTTTTTTTTTTTTTTTGGTGTGTGTGTGTATGGCGTTGGCTGAGTCAAACTGCAGAATCCACAGCATAAAGAAAATGATAAATGATGCTTTAGTAAAAAGCAAATTGTTTGAAAAGTCAGATTATGGCATATATATCTCATCTCCAAAATAGAATTCCTTTCTGATATAAAAATTAGGTAGGAGCTTAATGGCCACACTTCTAAAAGCAGTAATGCACATACCTTTTCCTAAGGCCACTCATTTGTCTATTCTATTATCAAATGTTAACAAGGCAAAAGATATGAAGCAACACAAAAGTATAGCTTTAAGAATAGATCACAACAGTCAGATTCTCATATGCTTCATGCCAATTTACATCATACTAAGTGACAAGCAAAACGTTGCGACTGTGCGCTGACAAATCTTTGATTTTTTTTTTTTTTCAGCATAAGCTTGATGTAAAATTTATATTTATATGGAAGTCTGCTCTACATACCATATTTTATCCAGGTTTAGGTTGGACAGTCCATTTGCTCGTATGCATATGCCTATAATGTTGTTTTGAACCAGTTCATCCAGCTAATGCTTGCGCTGCTCAATGTTCACTCCTTAGCCGCGAACTTTGACAATTCATTTTGCACCAACTTCAGGCCAGCCTTGCATGAAGTTAAAATTGAGGATATGATCCTTCTTTGCAGATCTTTAAATTCCAATGCCAGCTTAACATCCCAACTAGCAGATTCTCTGCAATGATAACCACAAATATCAGAAATTGTTTCATTCAATTAGGGCATTTTCAAAGCTATACTTTTGCTAGGAAAGTTTTACTTGACAACAAGCTCTGTCTCGACGAGATTTTCCATCATGTTAGTGAAAGTAGACTGCAGGTCTTCCAGAATTTCTATTTCAATTTCCAAGTTTGATGGTGTCTTGAAGATTATAAAGAGAAAACAACATAAGAATCATCAATATGAAATTTCCTTGAGAAAAAAAAAGAATCATCAATATGAAATGAATAATTTCATTGACAAATCAGTTCAAGAAATTGCTGAGAAAAGCATACTTTACAGGCAGGGAAAAACTGTCAAAACAAATAATCATAAAACTCACGGGTCAACAACCGAATTTGCTCAAAATTTATGTTAATTGCTAAGAAAGTTGATGCAGTAAGACAAAATATATACATATATAAAACATGAAGGAAAGAAAATTACAATGGTTTTAGCATATGACTTAGGTATCCGAGCCCTCCGAAGAAAATCTAGCAACGGACATGGCAAGCCATAGTGGAATATATTGTGGTTTTTTGAGAGCCAAGTACCCCGGACCATATGAGTAGTCCAGATGGATAGGGAGCTATCCTCAATAAAATCAGTCTCACCAGCATCAATATCTGCATAAAAACAAGGATTTACATAATATTCATGCACATAAAAACATAGCATATTCGAGTGTGCAAGTGCTAACTAAATTCATTCAAAGACGCAATAACACCTGAATGAGAATACATACATAGTGTGTCCCCATACTATTTAGATCTCCCTTCTGAAAACCCCAGCCTCCCAGGTAATAGAGTAAAGAAAATTACCTAATGGAATTATATCATATGGATTGTCTCCTGGTGGTAAGAAACCATAGAATGTAATTAGATGCGAACTAGAGAAGCTCCCATAACTAAGACAGCATTGTTCTCCAACACGGCAAGGCCTTGACAATGGGAATTTTAATGTACTTGTTATAGAATCTACTTTGCCATAATGAACGATATGTGGATGGAGCTGCAGATCAAAGTTTGATAAGAATATGTCTTGAATAAAACAAACTGATACGTTTTTTATATGTAAGCATAGGAGATCCAACAACGCAAAAATGTGTACAAATAAGCGTAAGCATCTGAAGTGTCAGATTTTGGGCAGGAATAGAGGATTAACAATTATGAAAGTCTATTCCATAAAATATAAACTGTGAAGTTTCGACTTCAAAAGCAAGGGAATCAACAACTAGAGAGCAGAAATGGTTAAGCCAGTCTAGGTATATGTGGGAAAATTTTCAAACTTGCTAATGGTTGAGTCATTCTGGCCCATTTGAAATAACCACAGTTTCAAAATATTCAATAATAAATGTCATTACCATTGGGAGCCAAAACATCTGTACATGAAATGCGACACAAAATGGCAAAGACAGAGGAAGAATGGCGTACCGAATGGTTAAGAAAGCCTGCAATGGGAATCAAACATGTCCTCAACTTTCCATCAGGAAACATGATTTTCATACTATTGGAGTACCACAGTTCACAAGCCCATAAAAACTGCTCCCATGTATAGAGCTCTGGTGGAAATTCATCAGGATAACTATTGCATAGTGCAGGAACCAACTCATCGTATTGAACACGCAAATGCTGTGAAATTTTAAAGAAACAAACATGCCAGATTAAGAAACTACTTTTCTTTCCCTGAAACTTGAAATAATGTACACATATGATAGCGAGGAAGTTATACTCTATGAAATTCTATTTCCAAAAATTTCAGACCTCTGAAAGAAACCAAAGAGTTGAGGAACATATTGTTGTCCATATCCATTCATAAGAAAAACAAAACACATAACATCTTCACCATCTTTAGTTATTATTAATAATCAAGGACAGAAAGCAGCCAGCTTGGACTCCACTTAATATGGAGGACAACTTAATACAAGACCTACACTGACTATGTTATATACACATCTTGTTCATATAATACATAAGTTTAATATTTCAGTGAGAAGAGATTCTTTGAACTCTAAAAACACCTGAACTCTTTTAGAAAAAGGTTATTTCCTGGAAGTTACATTCCTGGGCAACAGCATTGGCTTGTGACATTTAATGCACAAGCTTAACAACTAACAGTCTTTTCTCACAGTCATTAAAGAATAAATGCACAATTTATCTGACAAAATTAATATGCTTTTCCTACAACTCCAGCATTCCTCATATGAAGCAAAAAATAACTGCGAGATTAAATATAGATATAAACAGCATAACATGGTACAGGAAGTTAGGAACCTCTTTTGCTTGCATTATCTCCTCTAAGAGCAAGCTCCCATCCAAAGCCATGATTGCAGCAACTCCAAAGCTCAGCCCTGATGATATTAGTTCAGAAAAAATGGGGAAAAAAAAAGATCAAAGCCAATCAAACAGGCAAAATCAACATTAACATCCAATTAAAGTCCTCAGAAAAGGCACCAAATGAAGGAATTGAAGACGTTTTATATCCCATAGAAAATTTGCATTAAGAGATTGCTCTAGGAGTACTACAACCTTTGGTTGCTTGCAAGTTCAAAATTCTTTACCATTGAAACAGTCAATGGACCCATAAATTTAGAACATTACAGATAAAACAACATGCATAAGTAAGGGTGTCAAAATGGGTTGGCGTGTCTGGTTTGACACGAACCCGTCTAACACCCGACACGATTAGGGTCAACACGAACATGACCCATTTAATAATCGTGCCAAATATTTAAACATGAACATGACGCGCATAACTCGTTTAATTAAATGGGTAAATAAATGCAACCAGTTTAATTAAATAGGTTATATACGGGTCAAAAAACCGACAAGTATGACACGTACAACCTGTATAACCCGCTTGATATATATATTATATGAAATAACCATTTTACCCTTAATTAAATGGGTTAGATGAGTTTAAACTTGCGTCATATACAGGTCACCTGTTTATGACACGAATTCATTTAGACTCAACCCTAACCCATTTAATTTCCTTATTAAACAAATCGTATTCCTGTATCATGATTCATCTTGACACCCCTAAGTAGACACAAAAAAAATTGATAAACTATAATTGTATACAAATGATTCAAAAATATAATTTCACCATGGTCTATGGTCACCAAACATTCAGCTCAATTTCATCTCATTCACAAAGGCAAATACATCAATTCACCCCTGAATTTTGCAACTTTAACCTTGTGGCACCATAAACTTTATGAATGATCTATCATGCATTTGAATTTGCAAATTTTGGTAACATTGCACACCTATCCATACTAATAGCAATAGTGTTAGGCTTTTTTATTTTTATATGCAAAATATTGATTTGATCTAGTTAGCATAACTTTTGGAACTATAGTTTTCACATTTTTCGATCATTTAATAGGCATTTCATTGATCTAATTTTTCAAGTTGAAGTATTCAATAAAATAATAATGCAACTTGAAGTGTTTAATAGGTGTAATTTTATAAGCTGAAGTATTTAATGGTTAAATAAAAATTGAGGGTGTCACAAGGTTAAAGTAATAAAGTTCAGGGGTGAATTTATATATTCAGCCCATTCACAAAAGATGAAGTTTCAAATTTGATTTCATCTAAAACTAGGGTATCCTTGTCAATTTCTATCATGAATTGCTACTTATATGGTGTTACAGCAAGATAATTTCAAATTTACTTTGACCTTTAGTGAAGTGTTTCCAAAAAAAAAACTGACAGTTTTCATCATGCATTTCTACTTATGTGCACATATATGGGGTTAATAGTTCTGTTAGATCCCAGTTGTTTGATATTCAGTAACTAGTGAAGTGTGAGAAATAAAGTTGGACGGATTTTATTGAATTCTAACAAGAGAACTGAAATGTTTGCAGCTCTGGCAAAGTCCAAATTGTAGATGCACAAGTAATATCTGCCAGTCATCTATATATATATATATATATATATATACACGTCTCAACATTTTTCATTGAAAGGATAACTAGTCCTGAAAGTATGAACTTGAATTCGGTTCCCACTTGCAAGCAAATATACACAATATCATTGACCAAGATTAACAGAATACCACACACCTGTATTAAATTCTTTTGGCAGAGTATCAAAGTAAACCTTGAATTTTGAATTACAATTATGCCTTTCCTTCATGCTCCATAGCAACAATATAGTCTCAGAGGAAATCCCATCAATCTGCTCCAATATATGATACTGCAAGCAAACCAAGGAATAAACCTTCTTGTATCAAACCATCAGGTTCATATTCTGGGATATCATGAACAAAGTGGAGCAAGCTGACATGAATCAGATCTGCCTTGAGACCCAACATTACTACACAGTACCAACATATATGCAGAGTCGAAATAAAACATATCTTAGAATGTGAAGCAGAAAATATCTTTTGAAGTTTGCAAAACCATTATGCTGTGCATGAGACATGAAGGCTCTGTTGTCATAATACAAGTTAATATATGTGGGCTAAAAAGGTCAGGACTCAGCCTACAAACTTGCCCATCATATTACAATATCAATTTTAGCTGCCTTTGTTATGCAATGTATGTCTATATGTTCTTTTTGTTATCTCCATGTAGTTTTTTCCTGGACAGGAATTGACTGCACAGTTGTCAAAGGTTAAAAGTAGACTAAGGCACTTGAGCGATATGAAGCATGCATTTATTTGAAATTTTGAATGTGCATAAGATACTAATATAATGTTCGCAAATTCTAAGTAGTGATAAATGCACATTAAATATCAAGAAGTTCATTACAAAATCAGCAATACTACAAAGATGTTTGCTATGGAGACTAGTTCAATGCAGGTCATGTCCATATTAGAATGCAAATCAATACACACAGTTGTATAATTAGAAAAATCTACCCTAAGGTTACACTGATCCTTCAATTAGTTTCAACAAAAACCATGTACACATGGAAACAAAAAGAAAACAGTAAACACAAACCACCACAAAGCCTGCATGCTCAAAAGATCACAAGACGAGCGAATCTCCGATTCTACTCAAAGCCATTTGTAGAAAAACAAGCAATCCTCATTTCATCATGTTCTTTCCGCCTCATTAGAGTTAAGGACCTTAATGCCGTCTTCCTCTTTATCTTCCTCACTTAAGGTACTTCCTCATCTATAATTTCTCAAAGAGTAGCCTAAACCTAGAATAGAAATACAATGGTTGTGATCTTTCGATTCAGTTGCTTTGATAAGCTGCAAGAGAAACAAGTTTAATTCGTGATTGGAGCACCAGATCACATTCTCATATATGCCTTTTAAGAGTTGGTTCTATGTAATTGTACTAATCATCTTGATATTGATATTGCAAGGAAAAATGAAAACACAACCATTCCAATGGACGTAACTTTAACAGAAATCCTTCGGCCCCTGTGGCACACCTAAAAGGTTCAATTGTAAGGACCCAGGCCCACAACCTAGGATTGAATCCTAACTTCAGACCATTCAGTATGCATGATAATGGAAATGGGTGTGCCTATGCTTTTGACAACTATGACTTAAAACTTGGGTACAGGAAATTACTCAAATCACACAATTTCTTCAGATATGTGAAGGTTTATTTTACTTTCTCTTTCTATTTTTTCCAGAAATTTTCCAAAGAGGTTGTTAAGAGAATGTAACCAAAACCAAAAAAGGCTGGGTGTATTTATATATGCTTATAAATAATGAAACGCACCATTTCAGATGGACGAACAATCTCTTCAGAAATTACAATGGATATAGGGACCTCCAAAGCGACATCCCCAACATTCAGATTTTTTGTTGCAATGGCTCCTCTACCAGCTCCTTCAACATCTATATGAAGAAATGATGCATGAGAAAATATATTAACAAGCAGATTTCTTTTCTTGTTCCAAACATAAATTATCATTTTTTTCTCGCTATTTGTTATTTGCATGTAGCAGTTCAGACTGTGTAACCAAATGATGGCAGACAACAAGGGAAAAAAATCCATATATTGTTTAGTGCAATCTATAGAGTATTTACCCTAATACTAAAGACTTACGGACAATATCCAATCTTGATTTAACGCCATTGCTTTCACCCCATTCTACTAGACTTTTCTCCTTGTCACAACTGTAGCTTTTATCTATTTTAGTCTCCTCTCTGTTCTTGTCTGTGAGTTCATTGATCCTATCAAGAATTGCATCTCGAAAGGCTTGCAAGACATTCATTTCGGTGTGTGTTTTACCAGAGGGTGAGCTGTTAACAAGTGCTATGATTGAATTGAGAGCTTCCACCTCATTCCTTGGGCTATAGTATTCCAATGATGAACATTCATCAGATTGACCAAAATAAAGTTCTACCTGCAACTCAGTGAGCCAGCATTATTTATTCATTACACACTAAGATTGAGGAATGCTATGCAAAAACAAACAGAAGACTCCAGAACTGCCAGATTCAGAGGAGCTAAAGGTAAATCATTGCTGCTACACCATAGAATATAGGTGCAACAATGAATTGATATAAATTATTATCAGTGAATAAGATCCACTAAAATAGTGTTCAATTATGTCTCTAAAATGAAGAACATGTAGATTATATAGAAGAATTGCAGTTTACCTCGTCTAAGTGTGTTATTCTTGCTATCTCAAGCATTCTTTCCAAGGTGGTAGCAATTGAATCAGGACATGGAGAACTCTGGATCTTTATCTGTTCTCTGACATCAAAACCCTTATTGGAAAGTAAACTCTGTCAAACAACAAGAAACATAATCAGAAGAAAGGTAGAAAATTAAAAACTCAGTCAAATAGGTCTTCTCTGATATGCAATGGGATCTAAAATTGCATTCTGAATCGAAAATAGAGTCAACATCAATGGAGATTATAAAAGAAATACATAATGAATTCCATAAACTTTTTATAAAAACCATAAATAATTTTATACTTATCCTATTTAGAACATAAAAATTTTCAGGGAATTTATCCACAATTCAACCATCACTATATTTGAAATTAATAAGGAATCCATTTAAAACCCCATACTTCTAATTCAGAAGAATTCACTATGCATAAATTAAAACAAATAAAAAAAATCCATCAAATCTGATGGAATTTACAAATGGTGTACTTCCCATCCTCGTTAATCCCTCTCAGACACACAGCTAAAAATCATTGAAATTCTAAAAATCCTACCATATGATGTATTGAACAATAAAAAAAAAAAAAATCATTTACATTTGAATTTATATCTATTAGTAGAATCCATTTGCATTCTTTGTAGAGTTTATACAAATGGATTCTAATAAAATTCATTTGAAAATGAAATGAATTGATTTTTCATTTGGTTACAAACACACAAATTAAAATGTTAATGCACAAAACAAACCATTTAAAACAGAAATTCAGAAAAATCTGTCCTTAAATCTAGCTCAAAACCATTTTGTATATACATTAGCATACCTCATTCTTGATTCTTCTTCTTTTTCTTTGTTCTTCTTGATAATTATATTTTTTTATATCTTAAGCTCATTCTCAATGTAAATTATATAATTTCATCAAATAAGCTTTCGTATCTACATGTAGTTTTAATTTTTCTCTCTCGCTCAGAAAAAAAAAATAGTATTACAATTAATATTTCTGGAAAAACATAAATTAATTCCAACAGAACTTGTCGGGCAAGCAAAAGAACTAGTGGCAAAAAAAAAATTTCATATCCATTTACATGTTTCCAGTTGTGGCCACTTCTTTCAAAATTATCAAAACGAAGCATGCACATGAACGATAGTAACAACTGTAGTCACCCATTACTTTCTATCTGTAATCCAAGAGCACTTAATTACCTGGTATGTTTATATGGATTGTTGTATTATTTTAAGGTTATCTATGATAAAACTTCAAATTGATTCACTTCTTAAAAAAAAAAAAATTTCCTCTAAACCTTGTAATTTTAATTTGATATTCATTTTTCCTTATTTTCTTAGACTTACAAATCAAGTTTAAGTTTTGCTAATAATTTAATGTAACTAAAAATCTTACTTATCATTAAAAAATCACTTACTAGATGGCTCGTTGATAATTTTAAAAGCAGCAACCATAATTGATAAAACACTGTATTGGATTTTTTTGAGCATTCACCCTAAATGAGAAGGAAAAGAAACATATCATCTTCCTTCTACTTCTCACCTTCTTTTTATCAAAAAAAGGATCATTTTGAGAGAGTTGAACAACTATGGTACATCCATCATCAGTTTCTTTTATCTTATTTGATGAACAGAACTGCAATAAACAAACAACCCACCATCAGTAATGAGATTTTCAGTTTACATTTTATATCAGTTGTAAAAAGTAAAAACGTACTGCATACACTGCAAATGCAAACCCTAAAACTATGAATTTTATGTACTAAAAAAAAAAAACAACACCAGCAGACCTTCTCCTATGAAGCTAAGCTAACAATAAATGTCCCTTAAAGAACAAATATAAACCAAAAGATGCTAAAGACCAATTAACCCTAGGCAGAAGGCCAAAAAGAAAAATAGTTATAATAGTATGTGTTTGGACAGTCAACAAGCAGCAAAAACAATGAATTTTCTACATAAAACTAAAAATTGAAGATAGCAAACAAAGAGATTTAGTTCAAGAAATGGAATTAAGTAAAGAATAGAATAAAGCATAGCTGAAACAAATGGGTTACCTTAGAATCCTCCATTGATAAACTAAAACTGAAGCAGCAGAACTTGCTTGAGTGTCAGAGGCCAGTGTAGAAGGCGGCATTCGCCTCCGAATCTAAAGAAACATATGAATTCGTAAAAATTCAAGGGTAAATTACTATTTAGTCCCTTTAATTTTATCAAATTCACTACATTTATCTTCTATTTGCGAAATCATCCCTCCGTCAAAAACGAAGACTCCTCACCGTTAAGTACGATTGAAAGACTAAAATGCCGTTTTTAGTTTTGTTACTACGGTAAAGTTGCATGCTTAGGATGAAGACTCTTTGCTGCAAATGCATGACATGTGCGTTAATACTTTGTGCATTATAGTCACAAAATGCAACTGATAAAACCAAGAAAGAAAATAAGTTTGAAAATTAAAAAAAATTAACAAAAACACTAAATAACCAAAGAAATTGATAATAAATTACCTCTGAACAGCACAAATAGAATTGGTTAAGCTCCCATTTTCATTAAAGCAATCTTCTTCTTCAAATTGATAGGGAAAATAGTACAAGTTATGCAAAAAGCAATCTTTGAAAATCCATTTGGGCATAATAACAAGCACCGGTTATGCAAACATTTTTTTTTTTTATTTCACTTGCAACAAATTTTCTTCAGCCCATTCGCAGCCAATTGGGTGCAATAATAAAAATTTGAAAAATAAAATTCAGATTCTTTTAAAAATTAGATTTATCTGACTCAGTCGTAGCGAGGCAGATGGTGAGGCAGGAAATATATATTGTTTCGTGGAGAATAAGTGGATAATATAATACTCAATCCATAAGTTTTCTAGAAAATTGATTAAAAAAAAAAAAAAGCTTATTTTTGAACTCTCTGGGAAAAATTCAACATTCTTTCTAAAATAAATTAAAATGAAAACTTTGAAGATTAGAGTGGCTGGTTGCAGCTGAGACAATTAGAAAGGCCCAAGTCACTAACAAAAGCCCAACCCAAGACATTTTTTTCTTTTTTATGCAATAGTTTTTCAGCCAATAAAGACAAAAAAAAGAAAGGTTAATTGTGAAGTTTTTAAAGGATATTTTGGTCATTTTGAAACCTACACTAATGAAAACTTAGTACCTATTTCTCCTTTCTATATAGTAAAAATACATAATTTCATCCTTTATTTTTCAAAAAAATATTTTATGGCATTTCAAATTTTATATCCCACAAGTTATAAAGTATAGTAATATTATACATTTTTTCATACTAGCAAGTTGCAACGACAATAAAGTTTTCAACATTTTACACTGATATATTAGTGGTATAATTTTTATAATAATTACTTTTTACTATTTTCAATCATCTAATAAGTGTTTGATCAATTTAATTTTATAATTAGAAGTATTCAATAACATCATTTTATAAATTAAAGTGTTTAATAAGTATACTTTGTATAAGTCGAAGTATTTAATAAGTTAAAGTAAAATTTGATGAAGCTACCAGATCTTTTGTGAAAATCATCTATTGTCGGATTATATATGCATTTATTACTAGATTATACCTTGGTGTGTGAGATACAATCATAGTTATTTTATTGTTTTATTTTCCTTTTCTTCAAAGTATTATTAGGAAGGAAAATTCAAATATAGATATTATCAAGTCACACGTTGATTTATTATTAAGTTATGCTTAGTATATATAATTATTTTTAAATGTTTAGATGTTGTTGTCCCAAATTCAAGGTCAATTTAAATTTTTATTTATTTATTTATTATGAAAATTAGGGATGAGATATATTCCTTTATAAAACTATGAAAATTTTGGAAAATTTTATTCTTTTTTGCCAAAACTTAAAAGCCCATCATCCAATAAAATCAAATTACATTCCGTTTTTTGAATGTTGAAATTACATTAGTGTAATTTCTATAGCAATGAAATTTTGTAAAGTTAATTTAATTTTTAAAGAAGTAAAATTGACCAACTACCCCACCCTTATCTGCTAAAAGAAAATAAGGAAGAAAGTAATAAACTTCTAACATTTCAAAACTTTACGTCTCAAATACCAACCAAAAAAAGAAAATTCATATTTTGGTAAAATAGGAAAAAAACTTTTTAAGTTTCATAAAACATCTGAGGCATACCATAATTGATGGAGCCAAAGTTAGATAGGAACTCTGGGACTTTCAAGTATTTCAAAGTTCTCAATAGAAGGGTTGGAATCACATAAACACATAGTCTTAGTAACTAAGTACATATATGATCTGTTTTGTTTTGATTTATCAAAGATAAATGTTTAAACTCACAAAAGCCAGAGAAATTCTTTGGTAGACTCAATCTACTACGTCAGCTATAGATCCAATGAAATAAAGCCACGTCAGCTATTTGTTTTTTTCTAGCTTATTCTATGTTAATTCTTTCAAGTCTTCCATTTGGTTAGAGATAGGAAACCTAGTTGCCTTGGTTTAAGAGCCATCGATGTGGAACGGAGAAAAAACAAATACTTGATGTGGCTTTGCAACATTAAGTGGGTGTATAGCTGATGTAGTATAATAAGTCTATTTAAAATCTTCTCCAAAAATCAATATATATATATATATACATTGTAAACAACAAGAAAATTAATTTATCATTTAAACTTAATGATTAATTGCGACATACTATTAACTTAATTAAAAAAGTTGTATCAAATCATTTTTTTATATTTAACATAAAATTTAAATTAAAATTAAAATAAGGACAATTTGTTAATATTAACTAAAACACTCTAGAGAATTCAACAAATTACAAGTAACTTGTATTCACAATGAAAGAACTCTCCTACCTTTTCTTTTTAACTTATTTATAAATAAAAAAAAATGTTATACTTCGTTTGTTTCCGTAAAATAACTTGCTGAAAAATATTTTCTATAAAAAAAATTTTCTTTGAAAAATATTTTTTAATATGATTTATTTTTCGTTATTTGGTTGTAATATTGAACATTAGTTAAAAATATTAAAGTCTTTATCTCATAAGACCATAAAAAATATTAATAATAATAGACATTTTATAATTTAAAAATTTTATTGTTAAATCTTTGAAAATAATTTTTTAATATTGATTTATTAATATACAATATACTTTGCGTTAGTACTATTGACATTAGTTAAAAATATTAAGACTTTTTCTCATAAGACCCATAAAATAAATATAAATAATGATAGAACATTTTCTTTATCTCATAAGACCATAAAAAATATTAATAATAATAGACATTTTATAATTTAAAAATTTTATTGTTAAATATGATAAGAATGCAAAAAACAAATGTAAATTATGAAAGCCGCCTGTGGTAGCGGCCGGTGGTGGTAGCCAGTGGTAAATGATGACTGATGGTAGTGACTATGATGATTAGTAAATTAAAAAAAATATGAATTTATAAGGTCTTTCAATGTCCGAAAAATGTTTTACTCTCTCAAAAATGAGTTAATTTTTCTTTGACCAGGGAAACATTTTCCGTTGACTTACTTTCATGAACGCTCCAAACAATGAAAAATTGTGAAAAATATTTTCATGCAAGTTATTTCACGAAAACAAATGGAGCTTTAATTGCTTTAACACAACACAATTAACAAAAGCAACTAGGGTGTGCAAATCATCTGCTAAATCGAGTCAACCCAGTTGATTTGATTCAGTCAACCTGTTCAAGATCAAAAGAAATTCGGTTTGTCAATTTAGTTGGTCAGAATCAAAATTATTATTTGATTCAAATTAGTTATACATGAATTAGTCGGTTAGGATTAAAAGTCAATTGATTAAATAAAAACCGTCTGAACCGACAGGTTCAGTTCAAATGACATCTCGATTCAGTTCAATTTTATTCCCTAAAAATTTTGATTTTATATTTTTGTAACCTAATTTGAACTGAACTGACTGTTTGTTCACTCCTACAAGCAACTAAAGCTAACTTGATAAGCATAAAATGGGTTAGAAATGTATTGTTAGTGATAAAAAATTACATGTCGATTAGTTCAGTTAATTTAATTTCTTGTCGAGAAAACTAAATAGTTGAGTTTTAATATTTTTAAAATCAAACCGAATTGATTAAAATTAACCGAATAACCAAATCCAATGCTAACTTCTAAACGGTGAGCAATGAATCTTGAGATAAGTCAACTTAAGGTTATAACATAGAGCTCATTTTATTATTATTATTTTTTCATTCATAATCCTAATCTTAATAAGCTTTTGGGATGCTAATATGTCTAACCAAAATTAGACTATCTATATTACTGAAGGTAATTTTAGAGTGATTTTGCAGCAAAATAAAAAATAATTTAAAACTATGAAGTATATAAAAATTAATCCGTTGTACCACTTAATTAAAAGACAATATAAAAAAAAAAAAAAAAAAAAAAGAACTTTGAATGGAGCAAAGCAAAAGGCACTAAGGTCCAAGATGCCAATTGATACTGTCATAAATTGAAGGTTTGGTTCATTGTTTCAAATGATGGCCTAAGGATCCATTAATCTTTGAAAGCTTTACATGTAATTAAATAAACAAAACTGAAGGCTATTTGACCTAATATTCTATAATTAATTAAGCTTTTGATGGTTGATAAGTAGCATCTGATTCTTGTTACTGCTGCTGACTGAATTTAATTTATAATCATAGTGGAAATACAGTTCAACAATAAAGATGAGTGGGAAAAAAAATTTAATAAGTTATTGATTTAACATTCAGAACTTTATGAGATAAATTACCCTCTAGAAAGTGTAATCTCGTCAAATTTTAATTTTAAAATTTCGGAATTTATTAGATTGAATTACATTGTACTTATGTTGTATACTATTATTTTGATATTTTGAAATTAAATTAATTATTTTATACTCTTTATTAGTTAAATAAATGCTTAAACAATTGTAATTTTAATAAAGTAATCAAATTTAAACATATGAGAATGGAGTATATTTTGTAAGGAAAATTTCAACTATGTGATTATTATTATTTTTTATTTATTTATTTTTAGTATTAGGTAAGGGAATTGAAATCTGAATCTATTGTTATGTTGTATATGCACTTACTACTGAAAATTTGATTATGTTCGGAGATATAGAAGTAAGATAACCCTTTTTGTTAGAAATTTGGTTGGAGAAGTTGTTTCTCTCCCTCCAATCCATTACATTATATCTAGGATTTATCAAGAGTATTTGTCATTGTTTACATTCCAAAATGGAAAAATTATACAGTAGAACCGTGATTTCATGTAGGACATTTCATGTAGGATTGATGGTAGTGCCTTTAGAAATCCAGGCAAAGCGTTGCAAGAGGGATTCTTCAGTTCCAAACTTTCTTTGTTTCATTGGTTTTAAATGATGGACAAAGAATCCAACAATTATATACATAAAATCAAAACTGAAGGCTATTAGTTTATACCTTTCGATGGTTGATAGGTTCACACAATCAATCGAACTTGTAAAATAGCATCTGATTCTTATTTCTCTAACTTGACTAAATCTTTAGCTCTGCTGACTGAATTTGTTTGGCTTAATTTAAAGATAGAAGAGTTGTGCGAAGTAAACTGCATTTTCAAGTGAATTTTACTTATAAAATTAGGTATTTAAAAATTATAGTTATCACTGTTGGAAAAGTTTTATTTGAATATCAACTCAATCCGAATATAGAGATACGTGTATTAGAAAATACCGTGACACTGCACTTCAAAAATTAGAAACTCAACAAATAAAGATGAGAAAATAAAAGGAAATTTAAGTGCAATATC